GGTGGCAGGCGCCTGTAATCCCAGCTACTTGGGAGACTGAGGTGGGATAATCACTTGAACCCAGGAGGCAGAGGTTGCAGTGAGCTGAGATTATGCCACTACACGCCAGCCTGGGTGACAGAGCAAGACTCCATCTTAAAACAAACAAACAAAAAACCCTCTCAATTGGTTTAATGCCACAATAGAAAAGATAAATATTTTAGGATGGAATCTTAAATATGTCTGTCTTTTTGTTTCACATAGTTGAAATCAATTCAGTATTGTTTCTATATTAGGTGTTTCAAAAACAGTCACCTTTGCAACAGAAAAGCTCTTTTGTTGAAAATGATTCACAATATAGTTCAGTTGGAATGTCAGGTGGTATTTCTCTTACCAACGCCTCACAGAATCTATGCCAAGCTGCTCTACCACCAGTGCAAGTATTTTTTTAAAGCTACCAAAATAAACTTTCTTCACCAGTCACCTCTAATTTGGAGACAGTGTGCACTGGTGAAGGACCTCATCAGAATAAGTTTGAATGTCTACTGAACTAAGAACTTTGTCATTTGGGGGAGAGAATAGATGGCATCGGTCCTTCAATTATGTAACTGAAGACTCTAATTATAGTAGATAAGAGTCGTGTCTAGCAATTTTTAAATACTGACAGTCCAAACAAAAATATTTGGTGAAGAAGGATGTCCCATCTTTTTGCTTAAATATCATAAACAAATACGAGCATTTACTAATTTTTTAAACGATATTTTGAAAGATTACTCTTATTTACACTCTAAAATTAAAGGTGTACTTTATCTTAAGAAAGTCATATATGAAAAATGCATATTTTAAAAGATAAAATTGGGGAATTTACAGTTATTTTGTGAATGGCATTTAAACTATGATTTGATTTATATACAACTTTTCAGAATACTTTTGATTGCGTGTTGGACATATCTAAAGTTAATTTTATCTGGCAGAATTAAACCTAAATTTATTTGTGTAAAAGAGTCCCCTTTCTAAAATTCATATAGTGCCCTTGTATTCATTTATGCAGTGTTTATAAATATTTCAAGTTAGACTGTGAGATATCAATAAATGATTTATGCTGTGAACTGTTACTGTAATGCTTAATATCATGATTTGTTATATCATTAAAAAAACACAAAATTCTAAACTCTTGAGGTTAAAATAAAAATCTTACCATATAGTCAAAATATTTAAACATCTTCCAAAACATCACTGCATAGCAGTACGAAATCTACATTGAATTAGATGTATTCAATTTCAGTAAAGTTAAATAAGTTAATATAATTCTTTGTAATTTGTGAAGAGCTTTAGTTTATAATGTGCTTCCCCATGGGATCACCAGAGGTCTAGGTGACAGATGTATTTTCCCAGGTGACGATGGGGACGGGATGAGGAGCCTGAGGCTCAAAGAGGTTGATTGATTTGCCCAAGTTCACACACCTGGGACGTTCCAGGACCGGCCTTATGCCTGGGTTTTCTAATTCCAGCCCAAAGGTTATTTACATGTTCAGCTTTAAAATTAGCATCCATAGAAGCTTGAGAAATCCAAAGAGTATTCAACTGCAGAATGGGTTTTGTTTCTAAACTTCAAGGATGTTCTATCTCATTTTAAAGTGTGATAGGGAAGAATAATTAACATAGGGGAAGAACCTGTTACTGATATATCATGACATGTGCGCGTAACCTACAGCAGCAGTCCCCAGCCTTTTTGGCATCAGGGACCGGTTTCATGGAAGACAATTTTTCCATGGATGGTGGGGAGCAGAGGGGTATTTCAGGATGAAACTAT